TTGCAGTGGGAGAGATGGGGTCTGTGTGCCCAGCTGTGCCTAGCAGTGCCACCCCTGGTCTGTGCCTCCCCCTGGCACAAGCTCGCGGGGCTCCCTGTGGGGTGGTGGGGCTGCAGCCCAGCCCTGCAGGCTCTGCCTCTTTTGGAAGGAGGGGCTGGCTCGGGGGGGCTGGGAGGTGTTTCCCAGGTTGCAATGGTGGGGGTGGGTTGTATTATTGGAGCAGCCCCCAGGGCGGTGTTGGCTCTGGGCAGCGCCTGCCAGCACAGCCCCTCTGGAGCTAGCTTGAGAGGCTCCAGCACCCAGCAGTGCCCTTGCTCCGTGCCCGCAGGGACGTCTGAGGAGCACCAGGCTGCCTTTTCCCTGACTCCCATCGACTCCCCCAACAGCAGCCTGGAAACCCCCATGGACTCCACTGGGGACATCACCGTGGAGGAAGTGAAGGACTTCCTGGCGTGAGTGGGCACAGGGCATCTTGGGGCTTTCCAGCTGGGCTCATAGTGACTCTCAGGCCTGCTCTGCCCTCCCCTGGCAGAGCCGAGCACGTGGACGTGACCGGCTTCCCAGGCCAAGCCCACATCTCCTCTGTGTGGCTCTGAGCCTCTGCTTCTCCGCACCCGGGAGCCCCCAGCGGTGCACAGAGCCGAGGGGCTTCCAGCTTCTCCTGGTGGGGTGGGGGATGCCCTGGAAGGGCTGCTGTGGCTGGGGTCTCACGAACACCGTGCCCTTCTCTCTTCCAGCTCCACGGAGGAAGCCGATAAAAACCTGAGGATCTTAAGCGAGGAGGACGCTCGGTTGCTGGGGATTCTCATCAAGTGAGGTGCGAGGCAGCCCGGGGCCGTGGGAGGGGTGCGGGCAGCTGGGCTGAGTCGGGACCCTGTGCGCTGCTGAGAGCCGGGAGCTGCCCGGGTTGTCGTGCAGGGCTGCTGCCCCTCTGCGGCAGGCTCGTGTCTTGCAGCTGTCCTGGCATCCCTACATTAGCCTCAGTAGATCTCTCCTTGGCTGGGTTACTGGAGGGGGACAGTAGGGGATGCAGGGTGCATGAAGCAGGGCAGGCTAGAGACGCCTGCCTGGGCGGGGAGAGCGTCCACGGCGCAGACCCTGGACCTTCATCAATTCGTCTGTCTGCCTGGGGCCCATCCAGGTGGTCCAAGACGCCTGGCAGCTCAGCCTGTGCCCTGCGGAGGGCAGCCTCACCACTCAGCTGCTGCGCATGGAAATGGCAAATCTCTGGATTTGCAAGGCTGGAAGTGAAGGGGGAGGAGGGAAAGCTGCTTTTTTCTATGGGGGGCAAAGGGGGAACGAGCCAGGGCTGCAGCTTGTAGGGCAGCGCTTGAAGGAGCTTGGGGGGGGGCCTGGCTTGGCGGCTGCTGCTGCTGCTGCCTTGCTGGGGGTGGCAGGGGAGGGAGAAGGGAAGGATCCGTCCTCCATGCTATTGCCCAGGGGTCCCGGCGCAGGCTGGTCACATCCCCCAGTCGGTCTCCTGCCCCATAAGAAGGCAGCTGTGTGCTGTTGCACCCCCCGAGCCTTGCTGATAGCTGACATGTGTGTGCTCTTGCAGGAAAGCAGCTGCTGTGGCCCCTGCGGCCGCACCCTACACGGACCTTGCAGATGTGCGACTCCCCCAGGATGCAGCGACGCTTCTCCCCAGAGCCCCTCGCGTAATGTAGACTTGCCGCCGCCTTCCTAACACCCAGACTGGACGCTGGTGCAGGTCGGCTCCCTGCCTGTGTGGCGGCTGGACTTCTCCCCACCTGACGTTGCCCCAAGACCCTCCCCGCACAACACTACAGCTTGGCCAGCGTGGACAGGGCCGGCGCGGGGGCCTGGGCCCCTCTGGACGCACTGGACCTGGAAGGTCTTAGACACTTGTTCGTCACTTATTTCCCTTCCACCATCCCCCACCACACCTGAGGAGCACATGGACGGAGCTGCAGGACGTGGCTCTCAGCCTGCCCCCAGGAGCTCCTGGACTTCACGCCCACCACGCACCTTCCTCGGTCGGGGCTGCCCCGTGGCACCGGAGCTGTGGACGGGGATGGGGCTTTCACCCCTGCTCGCCGGCTTGCCAAGGCCTACGGTTGAGGGCCTGGAGGACCTTCCCTGTTGGTGCCAACTCCCTGGAGATGTAGCCTGGCCAGCTCCCTGCTACCAGCCCATGCCAAGGGCCCTGACCCCTCTGGCTCCGGTGCCCCCTCAGCGCCTCGCTCCGCACGTGGCTGCTCCAGCTGGGAGGAGCGGCCTGACTGCTGCACCCACTTTGTCCCCTGCACAAACCTACACGGCTGCCATGCAGCACCAGCACCGTGGGGCACAGGCCTGTCCCAATCGCCCTCCCTACCCCAGAGGAGCACGTCCACGCTCCTGCAGAGGCAGGGGAGCATCCTCACTCCCGCGCTCAGGCAGGGGACAAACACAGTGGCCTTCAACACACCAGGTTTTCCAAGGGCTTCCCCCCCCATCGGGGACTGGCGCTCTCCTTTAGGGTGCTGCTAAGATCCTCCCCTGGCACTGTCCCAGCTCCTGTGTGGGGCTGGCAGCTGCTGAAGGCGCATGGTTTGGGCTCCAGGGGGTAGAGGGCCTGGCGAGGGCTGCTCCAGCCTGTGAGCTGGGCAAGGCTTTGCCCGTGCTGGATCCTGCTCCTGGTGCCCCAGCTCCTTCCTTCACCCCTGCAGCGTTTCTCCCTGGGTTTGCACCTTGCTCCTCTGCCTGCGCAGGCTGGGCTGGGTTTTCCCACGATGGGGCTAACATGGCAGCTCCCACCGCCGGAGCAGCCGGCTCCTTTGCTCCCCTGTGCTGGGGCAGGCGGGGCCCTGGGGCCTGCGGGCAGGCCAGCTGCAGGGCTGGGGGTGGGGCCTGCGGGCAGGCCAGCTGCAGGGCTGGGGGTGGCTCGCTGCAGCCCTGCTCCCCTGCCAGGGACCTGCCCACTTTCTTGCCACGGAGCAAGGGGGTGCAGGCGGGCGCAGCGGGTTTTACTGTGATGTGGCACAGGGTGAAGGGGGCTGAGGCCTGGAGGGGCTGTGGGAGTGTAAGCTGGGACCATGCAGGCCTGTGGGTGCTTTTCCTTGCAGGTACAACTGGATATGCCAAGTTGGGGCCAAGCTGCCCTCTGCCCCTCCCCATCTGGGGCATCTCTAGGCCCTGTCCTGTGCCCGGGCAGGGGAGCCTGGGGGCAGGCTCCAGCATCCCTGGCAGCACAACCCCCTCATGACCTTTTTGTTAAGATGGATTTAGCAGCGTTTAGTTATTAAATAGGAAAAATACTGGTTTTTAATATGGAAAATAAAGCATTTAATATCTCGTAGCACTGGGCTCCTGCTTGTGGGGGGGGCAACCAGAGCCCTGAGCTCCTCTCTGCGGGGGGTGGGGGGTCCAGGGTATCTGAATACATCACTGGGTTGAGGGGGAGGCGGTGCTGGGCCCTGCCACAGAGGAAGCAACAGCCGTCTGGGCTCTGGGTCCCAGGCCATGCGCGCTGGGGGTGTCCCAGGTTTCTTCCGCAGTGGGGGTGCTGGGTATCCGCAGGCCTTGGGCAGCTGCTCCCCTCACCCCCAGGGCTTGGCCACATGATGGGGTATTTGGTGTTACGGGACGCAAGGGGCAATGGCGAGAGGTCTTTCTGCACTTCGTTAGCACGTGCGGCTTATCGGTTTTTCTGTTTAAAGATCCATCCCCTCCCCTGCATGTGTGGAGGGGCAGATGTCTACGTTCCCTTGGCCGTGCTCCCTTCGCCCCGGCCCGTGCGCCCAGGAGTTGGCCTTCTCTTCCGTTCCCCTTCAGCCTCTGGTTCCTCTCTTTCAGCCCGTATTAAGTGCGATGTTGCTCCCTCTCTCTCATCATTCACCTCCTCTTTCCTCAGAACCTGCACAATCCAAATCTCATCAGCTGCTGCTCACCCCTGCTTTGAAATTTTGGAGAGGCAAGGATTTCTTCAGGTGACCTCTTCTACTCGCTGGGATAGTTGCACGAGCTTCTGCAGGGAAGACGTCCTTCACCCACCTCTTGCATTTGAAAGCGTGTCTAACTCTATCCAACTAGACGGTCAGAAGAGACCACCCTAAGAAATCCTTGCCTCCTGTGCAATGCCCAGACTATCACGGCTGCATCATCGTCCTGGCGCTGAACTTCAGATTCGTTCCACGTTGGTCCGTAAGTGAAGGAAAGTGCCGGTTTTGTGAGCAAACTGTTCAGAAATGCTTCTCAAACTTTCTGGGTTGGAGATGAGGTGGTCAGGCTCTTTAATGCGAATTCCACAGATTTCCACCACGTTTCTAAGCATCCGTCTTCTCCCCTCTAGCACGCTGACTTGTGAAGACAACTTTTCCATTACTAAGGTGCCCCTAATTTTAAACCCATTAGTGCTGCAAGGGGTGTTTGCTTCTCTTCCAGGACAAGCTTTTGCAATTGCAATTCTTACAGTCATTAGAGCGAGTGATCGATTCCTCGTGATTCAAGAAACCCTTACCTCTCGGGCCAGACATGTGGATCACTTCCTCAACTAAAAGTCATGGTCTTTTACTGGATCAACTTCCTAGTTGTGATGGGGTTAGATAAGCCCTCAAATGCAAGTATTCTCCAGCAGGAGCTCAGTGTAGTTGGTCCAATACACGATGTTACCCTGAGAAATCCTTGTCTCTTAATCCCTGGATTATCATGGCTATACCATTGCTCTAAACAGTAGGTCCCTTGCAGAAGGCAAGTCTGTTCTGGAGGGAAAGCTGGGCTATTTAATGCCTCTCTTCACTCGCCTAACCTCACTTGTCAAGACTAGGTGGTGGAAGAACAGCTTGGAGAGGGTACTTCAGCAGCATTTCCTCCCTGAAACATTTCAACATTGACCCAAAGTCCTGGGAAGATCCCACTAGGAATAATAGTCAGTCTGAACACCCTAGTTGTGAAGTAGTTTTTCCTAATGCTGAGCCTGAAACAGTCTCCCAGGAGTTTGTGACCATTACTCCTAGTTTTCCCCAAGGGTGCTCTGGTGAACAGTTGTTCACCAAGCCCTAGATATACACTTCTGATGTAGCGGTATCCTGCGCGTAGTAGATATGCTGGAGGGTAGGGCTAGGATTCAGAGCGACCTTGACAAATCGGAGGACTGGAGCAAAAGCAATCTCATGAGGTTCAACAAGGACGAGTGCAAAGTCCTGCATGTCGGACAGAATAACCCCCTGCACCGGTGCAGGCTGGGGGTGACGGGCTGGGCAGCAGCTCTGCAGAAAAGGACCTGGGGGGATGGTGGACAATAAGCTGGATATAAGCTAGCGCGGTGCCCTTGTTGCCAAGAAGGCCACTGGCATCCTGGGCTGCGTTGGTAGGAGCAGTGCCAGTAGGACAAGGGCAGTGATTTGTTCCCTCTATTCAGCACTGGTGAAGGCACAGCTGGAGTCCTGTGTCCATTTGTGAGCCCCCACTACAGGAGGGATGTGAACAAGTTGGGGAGAGTCCAGTGGAGGGCAACAAAATGCTTTGGGGGAAGGTAAGGCATGACTTAAGAGAACTGGGCTTATTTAGTCTGGAGAAGAGGGGACTGAGGGGGATTGAATAGCAGCCTTCACCTCCTTGCAGGGGGGCTGCAAAGAGGCTGGAGCTGGACTGGTCTCAGTGGGGGCAGGTGACAGGACAAGGAGCAATGGGCTCAAGCTGCAGTAAGGGAAGTTGAGGTTGGATATTAGGAAGAATTTTCTCCCTAAGAGGGGAAGCACTGGCACAGGCACCCCAGGGAGGCGGCAGACTCTCCCTCCTTGGGGGTTTTCAAAACCCACCTATATAAAGCCTCGGCTGGGAGGCTGTAGCTGGAGCTGGTCCTGCTTCGAGCAGGGGGTTGGACTAGATGTGACCCCCTGAGCTCCCTTGGGCCTGGTAATGGGGCCTGCTTTGTGGTCAGACCCTTCTCCTGCCACGCATTACAGCCCCTGCAGTGCCTGCCCTAGCCAGCTCCACAGGAGTCCCCCCGCACAGCCCCAGCCAGCTCCCTGGGGAGGGGGCACAGGCAGGGAGGGCCCTCTCTCCACCCCCTGCTTCTGCCGCGAGCACCACCAGGACCACCGAGAGCTGTGAAGTGCAAGTTTATTGATATGATGCAGCGCACGGGCCCAGACAGCCCCCTCCGAATCCCTGACCCCCCATGAGTGCAGACAGCAGCAGCCAAGGGCAGAGCTCGCTGGGGCTAAGGGAGGAAGGCAAGGGCAAGACCCAGCACCCCCCAATCCACGCTGTGGAGCAAAGGTGCCCAGCGGCTGCTGCCACGCACTGACCCCGCTCTCAGTGCCACTAGAGGCCATGGGGGCTCAGCCCAGCGTGGCAGCCGTTTTGGGTCCCGCTGAGGGCAGTGTCTGTGCGCCCCCACAACATGATACCAGCCCCAGCACCACAGCCTCCTTGAGGCAGTGCCTGAGAGCATTTGCAGGGCGAGGGAGGGATGAGGCAGTGAGGCCGTGCTGCTGCTGCCTTCCAGCAGCAGGGAGCACCCAGCTTGGAGGGGCAGTGGGTCCCTAAGGCACAGACAGCCGCTCACTCCTGTTCAAACTTTGGGGCATGGGAGGGGTGGGGGTTGAACCTCCTTCTGCTCCCCCCGCACCTGCCCCTGCGGTCCCCAGGCATGGCACAGCCTGCTCCTCCTTGGAGCCCAGAGGCACACGAGAGAAGCCAGCTCCACAGCCAGCAGCCCCTGCCTGGGGCTCAGCGGTACCTGCTGGGGTCTCAGGTGCTGAGGCAGAGGCAGAAGCAGGCA